CAGTGTGTGGGGGGACAGAAGAGGAGGGCTCCTGGGCCAGGGGGCGCCTCGGTGCTGCCTCTCGGATGCCTTTACGTGGAGGGAGAGAAGGAGGGAGGGAAGATGGGAACAGGGAGGGACGGAGGGAGGGTGATGGGGGGTGGGGGTGGGGTGGGGAGGAAAGGGGGCAGGGCCAGAGCTCCCTCCCACCCCTCCCCACCCCTCTTCAGGCCCTGGGCTCTCAAAGATCCTAGCTTCTCCAAAGAGGTTCTGTAAGAGAGGGCAATATTACTGAAAAGCTCTCCAAAAGAGGAGACTTACTTCCCAGGGCTAATAGAGAACACGTCCCCTGGTCCAGGGGGTTTAGGGGAAGGAGGGGGAAGAAGGGTAGGTGTCCCAGAGGGTGGAAACGTCTCCCCACCCTGTCCTGTGCCAGCCACCTACCCAGCCGCCAGTCGGTGTGGGGGTGGGGGACAGTGGGGAGCATAGGGAAGCCAGTCCTTTTTGCCCCTATCCCACCTCAGGCCCTCCAGGGGAGGGTCAGCCGGGGTCAGGGAGCTTGTTCCTGATGCTGTGGGGCTGGCTGGCTGGAGAGTTCCCAATTAGACTTAGTTTCTCATCCTTAAGGCCCTGAGCCCCCAACCCAGGCACCCCAGCCCAATTACTGCTGGGCAGTGTTAACCCCTTGGTGCCCCCCGGCCGTTAATGGAATGTTAATTGGTCTAATGGGTTTCTTGTCAACAAGTCCTAATGAGCTCCTTCCTAACAAGCTTGGGTCTTTTTTCTCAGTCTGTTTGTCAACAAGCTGGAGTTTGGGCTCCAGTCGAGCCTCACACCTTGTGGGGCTGGGGAGCTGGAGCTGAGGAGGCAGAGGGAGTGCTCCCGGTCTGCTCCTCCCTAATTCCTAAGGGGTGTCCTTCACGTCCCTCAGCCACCCCCAACCTGTGCCCACAGACTCCCTCGGGCCCCAAGCTCTGTAAAATGGCAGTTTTAGCTCCTTCGGATGATAACATAAGTGGTAAGTGATTTCTTCCTGGATATCACTGTGGGGTTGAGTGTTGCATTAGGGTTTGTTTTTTCTTTCCTTCCTAGCTGCCCCTTAATAAAGGTGCTCAGTGTTGAAAACAATCATGTGATGTGGGAAACGTCTTGATGGTAAACTATTCCTCGTGTGTCCTCCATTTGCAGTCTTGGCTGTGTCCCTCCAGAGCCCTGGTGTCCGGTGACAGAGGGCTGGGGCCTCTGGACAGGGCAGAGCAGCCTCCCGGCAGCTGGCCACAAACAAATACTCGAGGCCTCCGCACCCTCCAGACTCGCAAACAAAGCACCAGAAAGTCAGGGTTCCCCAAAGGGCTTGGCACCCAGCGATGGCTCAAGGAGCTCCCCCACACCCCCGCTGTGAAGCCTCGCTGTCAGACCCCCCACATTCCTCTCCGGGATGCTCCCCTGTGGACCCTCTGCACCCCAAGCCCAGCTGGTGTGAGGAAGGGGCACCTGTGCGGGTGAAGAAAAGCTAGAGCTTCCGGATGTGGTGGTGGGCGCCTGGTCTCCCCCAGAGTCAGGTTACCAGAGGCTCTGTGCTTGAGCACGTAGGGAAGGAAACTTAAGCCTGTGATGAAAAGGCCTCCTGTTTTTTGCAGGAGAAGCCCCCAGAGGGCAGTAGGGCAGTGGCCTAGTGGCCTGTGGTGACCCCAGAGAGGAGGAGAGGAGGGGCAGAGGCCATCTGGGTCCTCAGAAAACTGTTCCCGTGGCCTCTAGACCCTGCTCCATAGCCCAGCAGGCTCCAGACGGAAAAATCTCTCAGCCTGGATGGTGCTGGTTTCTGGGTGCAGGCTACTCTTGTGTGTGTGTGTGTGAGTCGCTCAGTTATGTCCGACTCTGTGAAATCCCATGGACTGTAGCTCGCCAGGCTCCTCTGTCCATGGACTTCTTCAGGCAAGGATACAGGAATGAATTGCCATTCCCTTCTCTAGGAGATCTTCCTGACCCAGGGATCAAAACCAGGTCTCCCACACTGCAGGCAGATTCTTTACCATCTGAGCCACCAGGAAAGTCCTAGACTACTCTTGCCATCTCTCTTTAACCCCCAGGTAGGGCAGTTCACCAGCTGTTGCAAACATTTCTAAAGTGACCCTACTTCCCATCCATTGGACAGTGAACAAAAGAATGCGGACTAGAGAGTCCTCTTTTTAGCCTCAGTCTTCCTCCTTTTGAGCTTCTTGTGCTTTGCCTTCATGATGACTTTCTCATCTGTGGAATAAGGTGCATATATATATATATAAACCCAAACGCGAGGTGGAAGGGAACTGTGGGTGCGCTCAGTCAAATGCAGCCCACCAGGCTCCTCTGTCCATCCTGGAGTGGGTTAGCCATTTCCTCCTCCAGGGGATCTTCCTGACCCAGGGATCAAACCCATGTCTCCTGCTTTGGCAAGCAGATTCTTTACCACTGAGTCACCTGGGAAGCCCAGGAGGGAACTAGTTACCCCTAAAAGGGGAGAAAAATCTGCCACCAAACTCTGCCCCCAGGCTCCCCCTTCTGGAGGCTGCTGGCCCTACAGCCCCACAGATGTTTGCTTTTTCTGGGCGAGGAGCATTTAAGATTGGTGCTCCTAGGAAGAGATCCTGCCTTCAGGACCCATACAACCTATCCAAAATTACTCCATCTACCAGAGTCCCCAGAAAAGCTGAACCTAGCACACCCCTGAAATGCCCGTATTTCCTTTATTCCCCCCAGCTTTTCCGAAAAAGAGCGATTCCATGCCCCTTTTAATATCTCAGAGGTCTTCATTCTTCAGGTTCTTTCTGATGTCTCAAGGAGTGTATATCCTGTGCCCTGCCCCCCAACCCTTTTCACTCCGCTCTCGCCTTTCTGGGATGTTTTTCACCTTCTGGACAAGACCCAGCCATGAAAAAGGCATTGGTTTCTCCACCTGCAGAGTTAGGCTCCACTCGGGGCTTCCTTCTGAGCCTCTGCAGAAGTAGAGCCTGGGTCTCAGTGCCTAGTGCGTGTGAGATGAGGTGACTTTGGGTGCTTTGGTTTCAAAGACGACCTGGCGGTCCATCTCAGAAGTGAGGCCAGGGTGGATGGGGTACAAGTTCAGTGAGGCCAAGAGGCGTTCCCTGCAGTCTCGGGTTTTCAGCACAGGAAGTCATCCTTCCCTCTGCCTTCTCCACGGGAACCTCAATTCACTGCTCCATCACCTCCCTCCCTGGGGAGAAGGCCTTGCCTCTTTTCATCTGTCCCCTCACCCCCAGCCCAGGTCTTCGCATGTAGCTGACTCTTGATAAACCTCTGCTGAATGAATGCCTGGATTTCCAGGACTTTCACGTGTGAACTTCGGGTCAAAGCACACCTGGGAGTTTGGAGACTTGGGTCAGCCGAAGCTGATCTTTCCTCCTCTTCCTGAAAAAGAACTAATAAAAGACATACATACACACACACACACACACACACACACACTCACTCACTCCATGTAGGGAGAATTCAGGGATGTGAACATTTTGGAAGGCCTTGCAGAGGGGGTGTTAGGAGGACATCAGGGAGGAAGAGGATGGAGCCCTGAGGTCCCCAGGGAGAGGGAGGAAGCGGAGGGAGGGTCTGACTGTCACGCTCTCCAAGATCGCCTGCTCCTGAGCGCCCTCTGCCGAGGAGGAGGCCAGGCCCTGCGCTTGCGGATGTTCTCAGGAACCCCCGTGTTCCTCGATGGACAGGCCTGTACTGGGCAATGAGCCGTGGTTTCCAGCTCTAAATATTTCAGGGCTGCTCCTGCAGCCGAACAGCTCTCTGAGCATTCTGTTTCCTTGGGTGGTGCGGCCAGGCTGTCTCCTCTTACGGCACCACATAGTGATTGAAGAAGAGACCTGGAGACCAATGGGGGCAGCTCGCTTTTGGGGGATGGGATGGAGGGTTGGTAGAGGAGAGCAGTCCCCACTGGGGGAAATCTAGAGATCTTGGTTCCACCCTGCTTCCCAAGCACCACCCCCTCCCTAAACACACACACACACACACACACACACACACACACACACGCACACATCTGTCCTCTCTGCCTCTGCTTCCTCCTCTGTAAGAGGACCCTTGGCTCCGCGGCTCTTCTGGCCCCACGTACGGTTGAACTCAGAGTTGAACACATGTGAGAAAAGTCTTCTTAAGAGTGTGCAGGCGCGTTCATTTGTCTCTGTCCCTTCCTGGAACGCCTCCAAGTAGTCACCTGGGGCTACCCGCTCCACCCTCCAGCTGGGTAGGGGTCAGCACCCCAGGTCCCTTTCCATCACTAGGGGGTGTGGTGAGCACAACCCCGGGGTTACCGTAGTGCTGGGAGACTCCTGGAGCAGGGAGAGGGGATCTGGAAATCTGGAACTGTGAAGGCTGAGGCTGCTTCTTCTTTTATTTTTTACGGAGAAAAAGTTAAGAGTGGCTTTATTATTTTGCCAGGCAAACGGGGAACACAGTAAGCTAGAGCCTCAAGAACCGGGCCCCCCTCCCAGGTGAACAGGGAGAGGTCATACACTCAGGCAAGTGTATATGATGAGGACCAGCGCTGAGGTTTCTGCCCTGAGGGTATAGGGCGGCTCCAGGAGGCCTGGGAAGGGAAGGGAAAGCACCCTTGACCATGGCGTGCCCACGTGGCCTCCAATTCCCCCTCCCCCACCCCCCCAGTGCTGCCACGGCCCAGGCCCCCTCCCGACGCCTGCCTCTCCCCGGGCCCCCACCAGGCCAGAGCTGGTGCTGAACAAATGAAGGGCTGCCGGCTGCCCAAGTTGTTTTACATGTGATTTGAATATTGTTTCTTCCAAGTCCAAACTGCACTGGCAAGCCCCTCCCTCCCCCAGGCTTCTCCCCTTAAATCTCATGCACGCCCCCCAAGGGCTTCTAGCCTTCGCTGTATCTGGTCAGTCCCCGGGGGCCCGGCCTGGGCACACACCCAGTGGCTGGTCCCTAGGGCTCCCTGCGCTCGGCGATTAACCGTGCGGCCCCCTCTCTCCTGCCACAGGTCCCCCATGTGAATCCATCCCACGATGCAACATGCCTCCCCAGCCCCCGCTCTGACGATGATGGCCACGCAGAATGTCCCGCCCCCAGCCTACCAGGACAGCCCACAGGTGAGTGACTGACAGGCGGCGGGGGTGGGGGGTTGGGGGGCCCGGAGGCCTTCCCGGGTCACAGGGCAGGGCCAGGCCTCCCTCAGCTCTCCCCCTGCCCAGCCTGGGAGCCTCTCTTCCCAGACTCCCTGGGAGGAGTCTTGCACTTGGCAAAGCACCTGGGCAGCTGTCGCCTGCATCAAGGACCCAGCACCCCAAAGTGCAGCACCTACTCATGGTCCAGCGCCCCTCCCCACCCCGATTCCTGCTCAGAGCACAGATCAGACAAATGCACCCAACCCCTCACTCGGGGAGACCCAGCTCCAGGTACATCGAGCCTGTCTTTGAGTGTTTGGGGAAACCCTTGAATAGAGGGTCCCTCTACCAGATCCCTCATTCACTGGTCTCTGCCTGACTATGGGAGGAATCTCCCTTCTCTCCAGGACTTCACTCAGTTTCTATCCAGAAAAGGGTCAGGACTATTTCTCTACACCCTCCCATCCTTTCCTCTAGTTCTCAGTCTCCATAACAGCAGCTCGGACAAAGCAGCCCTAAGTCCTTCTGAGACGCCCTCCTGCAGGAGGCACCGGCCTCACCCTGTATTCCTGTTCTCTCCTCCCCATTCTCTGGATACCTGGCCCAGCTTCTGTGCATTGGGCTCCCCAAGTTCTTGAGACCAATCCCTTCTGATCTTTGGTCCCCTGTGTGTGCCTCCCCTCCACGCTGGGTTCTTTGAGACTCAGAGTTCCTGAGGCTGTGTGTTCACAGGAGGCTCCACCTTCACACTCTCCTGTTTTCTCAATTATTACTGATCGAGTCCCTGTAATGTGAAATGCAGCCAGCTAGAACTGAACTGAATTCCTTCTTTCATTTCACGAAAGTGCAGCGAGCCCCTACTGTGTGCCAGGTCGTCATTCCCATTCTGTCTTGATCGCTGGTCTTTGCCCTGCGCGGCCATCCCTCACTCATTAGCATTTTGGACACAGCCCTTCTCCTGACCACAGGAGACATCTGTGCTGCGTGGACAGGATGCAGAGATGCAGGTGCAGAGGGCATCGCTTTATGTCCCAAGGCCCTGCCACCCCAGCCTAGGGTGAGCCTGTGGGGCTTCCCTGTCCACCCTGTCTCCCCCACCCACAAAATGACCACTTGGTCCAGCACATGGACCATCTCCTCCCCTTGTGTAAGTCTGGAAGCGCTGACCTCCAAGTGCACGTCCCACCCCTGCTCCTGCTCGTCATCTCTGTGCGCCTTCCCAGGCTCACCCTGCCCTGACCTCAGCTTCATCCGACCCTCTGCTCATGTCAGTAGCTTCCCGTGAACGACTGTGGGCTGGGCTTGGCATTTTCACGGTCCCACTGTTTGAAAGTCTCCAGCTGTGCAGCTGTGTCAGGGCCTTTCCCTCTGTGGTCAGAACCAAGCATAGAAGGAGGCCTGAACCGACCTTACGGGGGAGAGACACCATCCGTCCTCCATAGACCAGACCCATCCGCCGTCTGCTCAGGGCCTGCCGGGTACTAATGGGTACTGATACCTGAGGGTATTAATGAAGAGGCAGGAACATCAGCTCCGTTTCTTTTGTAGCTGGATGATGCTCTCTAAGCTCCACAGTGGGATCCTGGAATGACAATCAGGACACTGCTTGTGTTTAGCAGGTGATGGGCGCCAGGGCTCCCATCCCCATCCCCAAGATTCAGGGACAGACCAGAGTTGGGCGGAGAGGTCAGGGAGCACCAGATTGGCTCAGCTGCCTCCCTGCCTCCAGCCCCGCCCCCTGTTTTGCCTTCCCAGGCAGCTGGGAGAAGTTTGAGTTTGGTGGAGGAATAGCAGGAGAGCTGCAGCTAGGGCCTGTGTTGTTCAGGAATGCTGATCCCGGTGGAGTGAGGTAGAGGGTATAGCTGAGAAGTCATCCATCCCAGGTGCTGAGGGGGGTGGGGGAGGTGAGGCTGCAGCCCTATAGTGCTCAGCCCCCCGCCTCCGGAAGCCACCACCAAGCTGCTGTAGCCTTTTAGGGGGGAAGGGAGGCTCCAGCCCCCATCTGAGGCCTCAGAGCAGAAACCCAATGAGGGGGCTGTCCCAAGGCTCTCTTCTCCAGGAGCCACTGGAATCTCGCCATCAAAAATATTCACATTTACAGCAGAGGAATAAGTTTCCACAGCAAAGCCATATCTCCTTGTAACCACAGAAGTCCAGGGATGAAGTCTCAGTGTTCATGGTAAAGTGACCAGGCCAAGGCCTGGGGTCTTTATGGCCTTGGTTAGGCCACTAGGCTGTGGCTAGATTCCCATGGGCCCTCTCTGAGCCAAACTAGTTCCCGAGGAAACTGACCAGGATGAGCGATCACAAGGAGAACTTAGGGCATGGATGGAACGGGTGGGATAGAGGAGGTGGGTGAAGACTGCAGGGCAGAGTCTCTGACTCACAGGCTCTCCCCAGAGTGCTAGACTTTGAGGCTAGTTGGCTTTCGGGGGGCCCTTCTCCCCACTCTTCGGGGCTTCTCAGAGTGGCTATCATGTGAGCATGTCTTCCATGTTGGGTTTTCAAGCATGGGGAACTTTCTCTGGTGCTCCTGCCTTCTTCCCTTTGTGCAACCAGGGTCTGAGCCCTGCTTCCCAGGAGAAGCCTGCTCCATTGCCCTATCACACTCATCATCCTGGCAAACCGCTGCTTTCTGACACTCCATGTCCTCGGAAAGCCCAGACGAACAGCATGGTCCAGGCCCACAGGGTATCACTTCCAGAACAGGGCTCTCTGGAAAGGGTCTCACACTTCTCCATTCCTTCAGGTCTAATCTCATTACCTTTGGACCCGATATGACTTGCCTCTTCGAGGCCTAGACCTCTGAGTGCATCTCTTTATCACCTCTTCAGAAACCCAGTTTCTTCCATGGGCAGAAATGGACAGTCTTTGCTACAAAGTTCCCAAAATGAGAAAGGAAGCGACAAAGCAGGGCCCGTCCTCTGAGACCCATGCAGTCGTTTTAATAATGTTCCCGTTGTGCTAAGGGCTAGCAATACCGAGCATAATCTATTCAAATGCACAGGAGAATCTCGCTTTGGAAAATTAGGAATCTGCATTAAAAAATTCCCAAGCCCCGGACCTTCTTTATAATAAATTAGGAAAAAAAAATTTTTCAAGGCAAATTCTTAACTTGGCAATTTCATTTTTGAAGTTTGGGGAATAAAGTTATTAAAAAATGAGGGAGGCTTTTTTTCTTCTTCTTCCCATTTTAGTCCAGAAACATTCATGGTTATGGCTCTGTGCTATTTGGGCACAAGCCAAGTGGTATAACAGTTAAGCAGCTTCTGGTCCCTCAGTTCTGTTCCCGTCCATCCTAGAAAACCCTGTGATTACTTGTAAGAATGTCCCTCTGTGTTCATTGTGCACTGAAGACCGACCCTGAGTTCAGAGAGTACAAAAGCAACGACCCGCTGGGACCCTTCCTGTGGCCTGCTTCCTCCTTCCTGCGGCTCCCTGTTGAATTCTGTCAGAGCCACAGCGCCCTCTGCTGTCCACCTCCAGTACCTCAGTTCTGGCGTGATAACACCTGAGTCCTGGATGCAGATTCTCACTTTATGCCCCGAGACGTAGGGCAAGTCACAGGTCTGTGGAATTCTCCGATAACTGTTTAATGAGGACATTGTCTCCAGAGAGACCTACCTGGATGCAAACAAGGTGTGTGGTCCCTCCATTCGGCGCCCACATCACTCTTCATCCTTTCACATCTCTGCCTCTGCCTGCCCATCTGTCACCTGGACTTTCCTACCCCACTGCCCCAGCACCCCACAGATCCCTAAGGGATCCTCAAAGTCATGTTCTCTGCTGTTACCCCCCTTTCCCGGCAAGCACCAGTCCAGTCTTCCTCCCAGAATTTTCCTGGTAACACAACCTCCCTCTCACCCATCCAGGCACATACCCTCCATCCAAGCACTCTTTCCACCCCTGAAATGTCATTCAAGTTCTCCCGTTTCCTGTAACACCCCGTGGGCAACACCACCCACCCACCAGAGTCCTCGCTCTGGCTCCATCAGCAATTTTAGGAAACTGACAGCTTTACTGGAGAGGTAGCGGCTTCCCCTCCCTCCACCATAACACGCTCCTCCCAAACTCCTGTGGTCAATAACCTCCCCCCACCCTTCCTCAAACACAGACACATACCTACCGTTCTACAAATACCTTTGCCCTTGGCTTATAGGCAAGACAAATATTTTATCTGGTCTATTTGTGTGTGTGTATTCAGCGTTTAGTACTCCTCTGCGTGTCCCCAGCGTGTCGGCTGCGTGAGCATTTGAGTACAAAGCAGAAATCCCGGTGGCCAGTCTGACCCACTAGGCACAGTGGCAATGGATGGGGGCACTCTTGCAGTTTGGATTAGGAGCCAATTGCTCTGCAGGTAGCTAGGTGCTTGCATAGTGTGATGTCATGATAGGGGGTATTGAAAGAGTTCAGGCAATTCACCAGGGATGCAGCCTCGTTATTGACCAGAGGCAGGCAAGACAGACAAAGTCAGAACTCTCAGCTCAGGACCCGGATGGGAAGCTCACTTCAGAAGGGAGTCAAACCCTTGTTTGAGACTCCTTTCCCCACCCCCTCCATCCTCCTGCCACCCTCAGAGCCAGGAGAATGGTGTTCAGGATGCTGTGCTGGGAGATGAGGGGTCCAGATGATGCTACCCGCCCCCCCCGCCATGCTGCACCAGAAAGGCTAAGGCTGGGCCAGCCATGTCGGGGGAGACCAGGCCTGTCTCTCTCGCCCTCTGAGTAACTTCTTTCCCTCCCTGTCCAGGCATGCCCTCTCTGGGCAGGGGCCAGGAGAGCAGATATCTGGGGGAGCGGGAAGGGCTTTGATCAGTCGTTAGGATCCCCACGCTGCTTTCATTAGGTGGAGGGGGATGGGAAGTGGTCAGGGCCCCTGGCTGTGAATGCCCTCCTCCATCCAGGCCATGCAGCTGGGCCGGGCAGAAGCGGGTTCAGTTGTTTTCACACTTTACATTCCTCTCATCCCTTTATGGGTGGGAGCCC